TTGTTTCAACAATTATTGCCGTCCTGTTGCATTCCCGCTGACTGGAAACTTGGAAAGATCATTCCGATCTTTAACCCTGGCTCAAAATCGCCCGTAATTAGCTACCGCCCCATATCCCTAATAACCAGTGGGTTGTCGAAATTGCTCAAACACATAGCACTCTCCCATTCCGTGTGTTATCTTCAAATTAACAACTTTTTCTATAACTATAAGAATGGGTTTCGCAGAGTACTCGTCGGAGGCGCAGTTACTTGAAATTCACCCATGACCTTCACGCTAATACGGACTCAGGCTCTCAAACCGACGCGATTTTCTTAGACTTCTCAAAGGAATCGCGTTCAGGTCGCACAGTTATTAAACTCTCCGCTCTTAATTATGAATCGTTAACACTTTTCTGGATTCGTAACTTTTTAACACTTAGACAATTTACCGTAACTGGCGACTTTCGATCTCCCACTACTAACGTGACCTTTGGAGTCCCGCTGGGTAGAGTTCTCGGGCCTCTTCTGTGTACTGTGACTGTGTACTGTACAGAACCAATAATAATTAAAACGACCATAATATTCTCCCGAGTGATATTAATAGAGCTTTTGAGTCGTGTGCCACGAGGCTAATGTAACTTAACTTGTCTAAATTTGATACGCTTTCACTAAACAGCGTTCAGTCTCGTCTTTTAAATATTTCTCCATGTCTCTCTCTCTCGTCTTACCTGGGTGTGCATCTCACCTTTAGCCCCTCCTGGGTCACTCCCATTGAATCTATTTCCGCTGACTCTTCACGTACTCTAGGTTACCTAAAACGAAACTGAAAGGCCGTACCCGCCCATTGACGTCACCTAGCTTTTAATACTTACGCTCGCCCTAAACATGAGAACGTCATGGCCTATTTGAAACCCGCATCAGAAGGATCAAATTAGCCAATTAGAATCTGTTTAAAGCCCCTCCGCTCGGTTCCTATCATAGTCTCGATTTGTTCGCGTCTCTCTCAATAAACAGCGCAACACTATTCACCCCCTCGAAACTCGCCGTCTCATCTCACTGTATACTTGATCGGTTGCATCTTTATCCCGATCAATCAGGCTCATTACTTTGAGGACCGCCGAATATCATCGTCCAAATAACAACAAACACTTCCAATGCATCTTTGGTTGTACAGCCGGATACCTCAGCACTCCTTAAAGCGCGAGACACATGCGCGAGAAATCCACCCGATCCGACGTCCGATCCGGCATTACGACTGCCGGATCCGGAAAGTTTGGTCGCTTCAGACATCGGATCGGCGACCCGACGACCCGGCGCGCTTCCGACGTCGGAAGCAGCCAATGACAGCACAGCTAGCGCGAACGTCATGATGACGTACTCTGGCGGGACGAACAAGAAAACGGGTGACGGGAGGCCGGACGCGCGAATCCCGCTGACCCATTTGAGAAAGATGGCCTTAGCAAAGAATGCACGCGCTAGCGAGAACGAGCTCGTGATTCCGCTCGTGCGAGCCGAACCGTCAATCTGGGACCAGAGATCTCCGGGGCGGCGATTCGGAGCGGCGTTCGGACTGTCCGACCGGACGTCGGATCGGACGATTCTGCCGCCCATGTGTCTCGCGCTTTAGGCAATCAAGAACTGGAACGGTCTTCCGGGAGCCATGATCAACATATCTGATGCAAGCATGTTTTGTAATGCCCTTTCCAATCACTTTCTTTCCACCATGATCGCCCACAGCATTTTGAATTTTGCTATTTTCTGGTTTTGACGCCTTTCATACTCTCATTTTTGCCTCGAAGTGCATATTGTTATTTTCATAGCGATCGATCCGTAATAATTTATTTTGAATTATGACGTATCGGGGTATTTGTAGAGAATGCCAGAATACTAATTTCATTTGCGCATGCGGTTTCTTTAATCAAAATTTTTTTCACTCAGTATTTCAATTTCTCTCCCTTTTATAAGCCTTTTTTTCTTTGATGCGTCTTTTTTACCTTTTTCGTACTTGCATTTTTTTTTTCTCTTTCTGCGTTGCGATCGACGCTTACGCTACATGTTACCCCCCCCCCCCCCCCCCCCCTTGCAATGCCCTTAGTCGGGCTTTTGAGGTACCACGATTAAATAAATAAATAAATAAACACAAATAGACTAACTCCTTTTCAATTTCCCTCAAGTAGGCGGGGCTGTGCGGCTGTGGCTTCCCCACTGCCCCCTGCGATGCATGGCGGCTGTGAAAAGAGTGGTAAATCTTTTTTGTTTTGTTTTCTCGAGGGCAGGGCTGATTTCAGGGCTCTTCGTCAACATTGTACGAGTGGAGGAGGCTACCAAATACGCCTTTCTGAATCACCTGAACATTTGGAATGTTCATATTCAGCGCACATGCATAAAGTTTGTCAACTTTTTTCATGAAAACAATGGTCAGCTTTGCACCATACAACGAGGAATTTTTCCCCCTTTTTGGTGGTCTTTGATCAATCCATCCATAAATTTAGCGCGGAAAGGTCGGTGTTTGAAGACGGCCAATATCGCTGGCTGATCTCGTCGGAACGGCTCTGGAATGCGAGGGGCGCTGCGGTCTTGTCGAAAATAATTTGTATATATCGTAAATATTGAAATCGCTTACACAATTTTGCGGAAGGAAACTTTTGTGAGCGTGTACTTTTCTTGTTGGTTTATGAAACTATGCAACCGCGTACTGTTATTGCAAGTTTCTAAAACTTCAAACATAACATACGAAGCTATATTATAAAAAATAGAAACTATGTTTTCACGCTGTACTTGAGCTCAATAGTAAAGAGATACATATTAGAATGGATGCTTGGGCGAGTTGGATATTCATACTGTAGGAGAAGCGCTAGATTCACTCACCCTCAAACTCACACTCACACTCACACCAGAAAAACGGTCTCTCACGTCGCGCTGATTTTCAACTCAAATTGTATTTTCGTCTTTCGTTTTTCTTTGACCCGTATTAAAATTGTCATCTCACTTCGTTCTCTTCTGTACAAAACAATTAGCAATGTCTATCGCACATGGCCTACGAGAATCAAGATAAAACAATTCTTTTTCCGTTGGCGTTATGGATAGACTACTAACACAGGTGTCACTTCTTTTTATGATGAGAGCTGCCTCTATTATCTCACGTGTTAACTGATGATGGTTCTTTCCTATTATGGTGCTATTTTTGAAGTCCGCGGCGCATCCACAGTCACGGCAGTGGATGCCCAAACGTCCTGAGTTTGCTAATCGGGTGTTGTTGTTGTGTTCCCTTAATCTGTCGTTAATACATCTTCCAGTTTGTCGTATGTACTGTCTGCCGCATGATAGGGGAAAGGAATAAATCACTCTTTCTGAGCAAGGTATGAATGGGGTTCTATGCTGTTTTGTGCAGACGGTATTAGTTTTTGGTATGGGGTTAACTTTTTTACATAGGCCTGATATTTTGATGGGGGCGGAAAAGACTACGTCGATGTATGCGCGATTCCCAATCTTCTTCGGGTTATGAGAAATGTTATGAATGTAGGGGATGACTACCGGTCTCTGGCTACTGAATCTTTCGCGTGGCTTGCGGGATGTGATTTGACCTTTTTTAATCTGTTTAAGGAGACTTTCGGTGACTGAAGTTAATATATGTGAAGGATATCCCACCCTTACTATCCTAGATACTTGTCCTGTGAAGACAGAAAGTCAGCGCGACGTGAGTGACCGTTTTTCTGGTGTGAGTGCTTGTGACTTTGAGGGTCAGTGAATCTACTTTGGCGCTTCTCCGACAGAGATACATATCTTTCTCTTGATGTGTAGTTTTTCTGAAGCAGTAGCCGCCTTCCTTTATTTCGTCTTGTAACTCAGGGACCTGCGCGAACCGGGCTGAATTCCAAATGGGGTAACTTTTGTCATACACGTTTCCCTCCAGAAGTAAATCAATACTGTTAATCATCAAGCTACCCCACAAAAATATTCTCCCTCGTTCTGCATTTTTTCTTTGCCTGGCTGTATGTAACTTTATACAGCAATACATAATTTGGACTGAAAATCAACATCGATGTGTAGTTGAGAACAGTTCAAAGACACTCGCCTTCACATAATATTACTTCACTTGCATGAGGTTTACCGTCATGCAGCTGGTGCGTTGAAATTCCCCGACAAAAATGAACTACCCTGGGTTCTTTACAATAGTCTCCGCTGCGCTAAACGGACACTCGCACGGTGTTCAAGTGACGGGGACGCGTGTAACTTTCTGCATTTGTCTGCAGTTAAAAAATCTCATCCCCCCCCCCTACAGTTTTTTAAGTTAAAATTTCACCAAAAGTGCGTGGTGAAAGCATTTATTTTCTTGCTTTCTTTTAGTTCTTCAAAGTGTTACGGAATAACCGGTTTAAAAAATTGATTCCGATCAAAGCATTAATAGACTAATTGCCAAGGCCTACGTTTTTTTTAATAGTCCATTTGCAGGAATTTGTTTTCTCCATTTATTGCAATGATCGGTCTTTCTGCGTGTTCTGAGGTGAAGCTGGTGCCAGGGGATTAATCACTGTTCACGTCGTTCACCCCCTCCCCCTCCCCCCCCCCCCCCCCCCCCCCCATCAACTCGGCAGCTTCGCTCGAACTTCGCTACCAGATACGACATCCTGTTCGGTCTGGCCGCGCATGCGCGCCTGCGTGCTTCATCGATTGACTCCCTCAGGTGCGTACAGTGTTCGCGGTGAAGTTAACTTCTAAAATTGGATCCCCAATTTGCTGGAACGTTTCCTGTCACCCTGAAAACACGAGGACGGAGTTAACGCGCCAAGGCCGCTTGACGTTCGCGGCGAGTAAAGGAGCAACAATTAACAGCTGCGCCGCAAAAATGGAAAAGTGGGAAGTCATGAGATTTTCTATACGTGCCGCCCTGCTCAACCTGCAGAGAAACTGTTGACATATTCTGACGCAGACTGGATCCAGGTTGAACTTCATTAGCTTTTTTCGAGGTTCAGTGGGCATGCGGTCGTATTGCGACTCCTAAAGTACTCGATCACTAACCCCGGATCGCCCGAGAGGTGCTGAACCACATCTTACCCAGAGTGTGTAGGCGGCAAACTTTGAGGACTTGGGTTGTCGGCTCCGGCTTGTGGCGCATAAGAAAACTACACTATGTCTAAGCGAGGATTGCGTAGAATAGAGACAATAGTCTTCTGGTGCTTCAGCGTCGTGCAAATATGGCCGGATCTCCAGAGCAGCGCAGTAGTCGGGTGAGTATCGAGTCACTCGTAAGTTCATTTTATTTAGTTACCCGAAGGACATCCTTGCGAATGTATTACATTTTCAAATTCTTTCTTTAATTCTTCATTGGGAGAGGGGAGGCAGAGATAAACAGAAACTCGGGTGTTTCTTGAGAAGTATTTGCCTACCCACAGAAGCGAAGAAGCAGCATGAATATGCGCCATATTGTATATAACGAATCAAACACGCATATCTATAAATACGTGCACGGGTGTTTATTCAAAAAAAAAATGCACAATAAATTAGTAGCGCTGACAAATGGACTATATTGGTAGTTCATTTAAACGGGTAAAAACAGCGCAGGTACACGGACAGAGTAACGCACACGGCACTGACTTACAACCGAGCTTTAAGGAATCTGGCAACGCGTATAAATGGGAAATTTGTCCGAAATAAAACCAAAGAGAAACGACACTTTAGAAGGACGACACGTGTTTAAGTTTGTATCATGGGTTGTGGAAGTGGTATTTTTTTCGTGCTGCCGCGCAAACACATTTGGCAGACAGGACGCTGCCTTAGGCGGCGGTCCTACGACCCCCACCATTATACCGGTGGCACCCGTGCAAGCGCTCCTGTTTGCGGTGCAAATGTCGCGTCTGTGCGCGGGGAATGCATTTCGTCCTTTTTACAAACAAATGGTCAACTCATCGTCACTGTCTTCGTGTAGAATGTAACTCGCATTTTTTTCAAACTTCAAAGCATTCCAAGTTTCTGGGCTTGGAATGCATCCAAGTCGCGTTCTTATTTTCTTTCTTCGTGAATAGAAGAAGGACTCGTGTGATTGCGTACTTACTGTCCTTTCTTAATTAGTACACTCACATTTTTTTTTACTGTTTATTCAAAAAGTGACTTTTTTAAGCTATTTCGAAGCGGCGCAACTCAGTTTCACATCATAACGCAGCAACAACATTTAAGGGCAGGTTCCTGGTAAACGTAGGAACTCAGCCTAAAAAAATGAAGGACGTTTCCAACTCCCTGTAACGCCGAGCGCAGCTCCTGTGGAGGAGGAGGGGAGGGTATGCACCTCCTCCCGTCCTCTTCCTCAAGAGCAGCGCTCTAATTAGACATTACAGGGAGTTGTACACATCTTTTACGTTTTGACGCCAGCAGTTTTTTTTTTTTAAGCACCTCTTGAGATAAAATTTCAAAGAATTCCCTTCAGGCGTTCTTTTCTTTTTCTTTTTAGATTGTGTTGTGCCATCTGATATAATTTTTGTTTTAAATTGTACGCTAGAGTAAAAAGGGAATACAAATCGATACACTGGGCTGGTTCTCCTTAAGGACGGTTTGGTTGTATTCATATTCATATTTGTTAAAACTACTTTAAAATCATAGGACTATTTGGAAGCTCGACTCTTTACGCGAGACACCGGCTCAGAGAAGAGGGCAGCTATTTCAATGACAATTATTAAATTAGAGCTTTTCTCGTTCAAACTAAACTAACGTTTTATGATCGTGACTTTTTTAAAGCATACTAATTGTTCTCGATATTAAAAAGGACACGCTGTGGACGACGACGAGCACTTGCGCCATCTTTTGAAAGGTGGCTGAAATTCCAAGTTGACAAGTTCAGCAAAAGTTGTGCTGATTCTGTCCCGGACGCAGAGGATTCTTGTCTCAAATATTTCCTCGCGCTTCTTCCTCGTTCTTACAGTAAATCAGAATTAGTCTCGCGAAAAAAAAAAAAAGAGACAAGCGAAAAACGCGTCACAAGGGTTACGAGCAACTTCTCGAAAACAGCTAGTGCCTATAAATATTCTATTCAATGCCGCGCGCCATGTTCCGACACCACGAAAGGTGGAAATATTGAACCATATATAGTAGCGGCGACCAAGTAAAGGGTATTTCCCTGAACTCTTTGATAAATTGACCTTTTTTTAAGGTTCGAGCTTTCCGATTGCGGCGGGTTAAAAGAGTTTAATAAACCCCTTTCCCGTGAAGCGCGCTATCAAAAGCGTTGCACATAGACGAAACCCTGCCTAGGTAGTGTTTCTTCGGATTAATTCTTCATTTCATTTCTCGAAATAATATAAATGTCATTAGATCAACCATCATGGTCTTGGTCTAATGATGCAACGACATCGAGCTTCCACTTTCCGCTTTACTAAGGATAAGCAGCCAGGGCAGACTCCGCTTCACCTTATGTTGTACCGCAGCGAAGGCTAGAAGCGCGAGCTCATAGCGTTGGCAGCTGCCCTTGGGCCCCTGCACGAGAGCTTGTGCGGCCGAGGTGTGCCATAGAGAGGAGCTCGCGCTTGTAGCCTTTCCTGCGGTACAGCACAATGTGAAACGGAGCTAGAAGCAGCTTCTCAGCTCAGGCAGGGGGAAGGGAAGCACTGCCAAAGTCAGCAGCTGAGCGGGAGCCGCACCTCGAGAGACTGGCGCGCCCCACTCTTTGCAGTGCTTTCGTTCACTCAATGCCAGCTAGGGGGGATCGGTGGCCGAGTGGTCTAGCGCACACCAGCTCGGAGCACGTGGAGCGAAAGCTCGCGCTGCAGAACCCAGGGATCCTGGGTTCGAGCCCCACCCCTGCCCGTTTCGATCTGGATGAGCATCGTACCGGCGTGCGGTCGTGTATCGCTACTGCGTGATGCACGTTAAAGACCCCAGGCTAGCGGCTGTACCGCACTGGCCAAATTTCTCATCTACAGCTGGGAGACTGGTCACCCCTGTGAGGCAGACCAAGTTCTAGGCTGTATGAACACACACACAACCCAATTTTTCAATGCCAGCTGAGAAGCTGTTCGAGCAAGCCGGTCCAAAATCGCAACTCCTAAAGAGTTCACTCGGGGTTGTCTCTCGTTTCCCCGCAATCAGTGTGGCGAAATAAAATCAATCGAGATGCTCATTGCTGCCCTGCCATGTTCTTCCAAGACCGGGCTAGTGAGCGGCTTTCCCGATGGCCTCCACTCTCGCCTAGGAGCAATGGGACTTTTTGAGCCGCGTGGGGGTGCGACCGCTCTACGATGCCCAACACCGCTTGCGCCATCCTGAACAACTGAGGCCAGACTCCCGAAACTTTCTTACGACAAGACGGTTCGCAAATCAATCCTTCGATAAAATTACGAACTTCTGAGTATTCCCGAAGCAAAACGTTCGTAAGTATTCCGTAACTTACGGATTTTGTCGTAACTTCCGCAAAACTTACGACTATTTTGCTTAGGGCCAGTACGACAGTTTTTCTAGTGTAACTAACATGAAACAATCACAATAGGATGGGCGTCATAGGATCTTCGGCTAAAAAAAAAAAAAATTACGGTTGAAATTTTTATACAACATATATCATAAAGCTAGTGGTATTAATAGCTTATCATGTCTCTTAAACCAAATTATTTTTCCAAATGTAATGACCATCTGCACAAGATAAAAAAACGAATATTACAAAACCAATTAAACAGTCACGGTTACCCACGTAACAGAGCATTACGCCGGACAGTCTAAACGATTTTAGACAAAAACTATCTAATTTTGATTGGAGCGATGTTCTCCTCGGAGACAGACGCAGAAAAAGCTTATATTTTGTTCTTGAGTATATTACCGCGAGCGAAGCCTACAGAAAAGACAGCGCGTCCGTGGCCGAATGGTTATCGCACTTGCCTTTCACGCAGAAGGCCAGGGTTCGATTCCTGGCCGCGGTTACTGACACTAGATTGTGATGTTCTGGTAAATTCGAAAAACCGTCTTGTTGATTCGAGGTTAGAATGTTCTACGCGCCGAACCTTGGAAAATATAACGTACAATAATCAGCAGCTAGCCGGAAAAGAACTGGCGAACAAGTTCATATTTTGTCAATTCAAGCAATGAAATCCTCGAGGATGATGCCTGCAAGTATACACTCCGTGCGACGCGACTGGCGCGCCGCCGCGCGGCCGGCACCGAAGGTAGGCAGCGAGAACCCCAGAGAAAACGAAACCGAAACCACGCCGCGTACGTTGGTACGCATCGAAGTCGGAGTGGTGCGGTTGCGCTGGGTTCACAGCATGAAGTGCTGCCTTTGCTGCGTCATTAAGTGCTTCAATAGTTATGCGTCGTATCTCGTGGAGACAAAGTTTCACAGTTTTTCACCTCGCCGATGTTTTGTGGGACAGCGACAACGATGGAGCCGTGCCGTACGACGTGAGAAATTTCGTCTCCCGATCATGTCTGCCACTGTGTCGGTACGGCTGACATATTCTACACTGCCGCTTTGCGCTCTGCGTTTGTTTTCGTACCAGTAACGCCTACATGTGTCAGCGCCGATGGGACGAACCCACACTCGCAGGTATGCAGTGCCCATTTCGTTGGAGGAATGCCCTCCAAAGAAGTTTCGTCCCCATCGTACGTGTCGATGATATTTCCGGACAAGTATGGCACGCAATCTGTACTTCATGAAAAAAGATTCGAAAGGTAAAAAAAGTGACAAATATAAATCTAAAGAAAACAACAATGAAACTCGGAATCACTAGAGAATCGACGTTTGAGTATGGAAGTTTATGTGGTGTGCTTTCTTTCTTGATCAGCCTCCTTTTGGATGTGGAAACGCTGACACTCCGAGTTCTGTAGACAACATTTTTTTTTCTCGGCTTTAGAGCCACCTATCGCAAAGTGGTTCGAACTGGAAGTACCGTCCACTGGTCCCTTCCTACCTGTAAAGTGTGCACCTCCCACGATGAGTGGTATTATCTGACAGCCTTTGACGGTCAAAGCCAGTTCCCATTTAGTTACGCCGCCCAAACTAAATTTCCACCTGGTTTCGCTATGCCAACTCTTTTTGTTATAATAAGTGTTGTGCCAAGTGACGGTCATGTCAAA